TGCACAAGTTGAACATGAGATACAGCACAAGAAATTAACCAGCAGTGAACAATGACAATCAGAGATGTCATGTAATGAAGTGATGCGAAAAATTATTATGGAACACAGTGAGTCTTATTAAGCAGCTCTGATTACTGGAACTGAGGGAACTGAGGGCAGCTACTTTATTTATCACAGCTAACACACTGCGAGTTGTACTAAGACAAAAATATTTAGAAATCAAAGAGAGTAAAAGCCTTAAATCCATACATAAGAGAATAAACCAAATTGCACCGATGAAAGTATTAAACTAAATTAAAAGAAATGAAGTAGTACCCTGATAACAATAATAAACTAGGAATTAACTAAATACGGGACCTTTTCTTCAGTGATTAAAAGCTTTGCTAAAAAGAAAAAAAAACAAACAAATATCTAGATCCTGATGCCAATTGTCTTTCTACTAAGGTCTTGGTACAGCTTAGGACTTAGCGAATGGACTGTGCTGTCTTGGAAATGCTGCAGTAATGTACTATTTAAAGGTGCTGGACAGAGGAAAACCTTAAGATCTTTGTACAGGTAGCCTGACTGATGAGTGGATGGACAGAGGCATATATCAAGTTATGCTAGCTGAGGTATCTTATGTAAAAGCAGACTAAAACCATATTATTTATTTTATGGTGCTTACAACAGTTTGATCAATAAATTATCAATACAGTTATTAGTTAGTTAGAAATTATAGACTCAGTTATCTTCTGTGTCTAGATTATACAGATCTCACCTCCATGCTATGCAGTTACAGAAAATGTTATTATAATCCTGTAAGATGAAACTACAATTAGTCATTTCCTTGAACTGATAAAGGCGTACAGAAATGATAAGCCACACCTTTAAAAACAGAGGCACACCCTGGAATGGCATTTGCGTATTGCATCGAATGTATCCATGTCTCAGTTATTCAATGTGATCCAATTTAGATCAATAAAGCTTTCTTGAACTTTCCTTCGGGTATTTAGATGTCTACTTTTATATGGGGATTTGTTTCAAGGTCATGTCAAACAAACTGCTTTTTCCAAGCTTTTGTGGAACCACACAAACAAACAAAAAACAAAAACATTCCTTATTTTACCCATCCAGCAATTTAGCTGGTCTTTTGTAGCCAAAAAGCTTAAAATCTAATTCAAAGATGTTGTACAGCTTCCTCCTGTCCTCCAGAGGCACTGCTTTAAACCAGTCCATGGCTGAGTTTGAGGTGGTCATATTTTTATAGGGTGAAGGGAACTTAATATCGTTTTCCAGTTTAAAAAATTTTAAAAGCTCTTCAGCGTCTTCCTTAAGAGTTTCCTGATGGCCAATGAAGTCATACCTGAAAAGACAAAATAAGAACTTTTTTTGGTCAACCTTTTAATCAGCTTGAAATGTTTTTAAAAGATAATAATATAACTGAGAAATTTCAATCTGGGTTTAAAGCTGCTCACAGTACTGAAACAGCTTTGCTTCCAGTGTACAATGATCTTCTTTTAACAGTTGATTCAGGCAATGTTGCAGTTTTATTACTTTTAGATTTGAGTGTTGCGTTTGACACTGTAGATCATCAGATTCTCTTACACATATTAAAACATTGTGTTGGCCTAAGAGGCACAGTATTTGAGTGGTTTAAATCTTACTTAGAAAATAGAACTTTTTCAGTTCATCTTGACCACTGCTGTTCTGGAACCAAACCTTTGAGGTTTGGTGTTCCCCAAGGCTCAATTTTAGGTCCCATTTTGTTTGTTTTGTATTTATTGCCTCTTGGTCAGATCTTCCATAAGTTTAGTGTTTCTTTTCATTGTTTTGCAGATGATGTCCAGATTTATATGCCCCTTAAACTACAGAATGGTAAAACTGAATCTCTTCAGCTATTGATGGATTGTTTAGCTAAAGTCAAACCTTGGATGG